AGGCCCATGGTTCTCTGCAGCCCTCAGGCTCTGTCTAGGGCAGGCCTTGGTTTTCTGTGAAATTTACATCAAAGGTCAAGGATGATACCCTAAAAACACTCCTGGTTTATGCTCTCAGGTCATCATCCCCTTTTGGGTTGATGAATTTCTCTGAGTAGATTTGTTTCAAATAAACTAATGTTCATTTACTGTTTTCCTTGTTATAAAATACAGGCTCATTATAGAAAATGTGGTAAGTACCAATTAGATGAAAATATATACAGAGCAATGAACATTTTAAAAATGTCCATTTCTAAGCTTTAATGAGAGCACCTAAATATTAATAATCCAGTTTTTAGAAAACAAGTTTAATTATGTTACCCAGCAAGGTACTCAATTTCTTGAGAAGAGTGTAATGAAAAAATTACTTGATTAGAAATCAGAAGCCTATGGGTGGATTTGTTTTGCCACTTTAGTGTGATAAATGGCTATAGGTTGGTTATCCAATATCTCAGAGCCTTATGGGATATCACACCAGTCACACTGTTATTACATGTGTAGTAAATTCTAAAGCATTACTCAAACACAAGCTATTACTGCCATTTTGGTTTCTTTCTTGTAACGTTGTAACACAGGAAGACACAAATATGTATTGATTATTGATATAGCCCAAAATGATAATTAGCACCAAGTGGTTCTGGAGTTAGATGGTCTGGCCTGAATGAATTCTTGGCGGCTCCCTGCATATTACGTTTGTGACTTTGACGTCTTAATTTTTCTGTACTTCAGTTACCTCTATTATAAAATGGAGATAACAGTATTTATACCTCAAAAGGTATTTTTGGGTCAATATAAGTAAAATGTTTAACACAGCCCTAACAAAAAGGGTTAGCTTAATTGACTGGCTATAATTATTTTATAGATTTAGAGATTACCACCATACCATTTTTTTTTGTTTTTTAATCTACCTCTTCAAACTGAAGCGTTTAGTCTCTTTACAGTGAAATTTTAAAATATCTTTAGGATTCTTCTTTTTCTTTCCTTTCCTTTACGTAATTCTTGAAGTGGTAAACAAAATTGTACACAGAAATTTCTGTGCAAATGCACTACATTTTTATTACCTTTACCTTCCTGTTTATACCCAAGTGCCTGCAGACTATAAGTAGGTCACACTGGAACAGTATTTTCTAGAAAAATATATAATTACTCCCTGAAACAATTCCTGGATTATAAAAGATAGCTTAAAGACCATTATTTTAAGGGTAGTTTGGTTATTATCTAAATGAACTCCTTGTACTGTCCACAGAATGTCACTCTTCAGTTATCAAATTCTTTGTACCTACTATACCTTGATCACTCTGAAGAACCTGTGTTATTGCTCATTATCTGCGTTTCCCAGGTACCTGCTTTCGGATCACCGAGGAACTGTGACAAACCGGTCTCACTAGACTCCTGGAACAGCTGGCTATCATCCCTACTCCCCGATCTCTAAGCCAGCTTTCTAAACATGAAAAGGCATTTTCCAGTTTTCACTTTTTAATTTCAAACAAGCCTTCTGTATGGCTTCTGAAAGCCTACATAAATTGTAGTAAATGGTTTCTCTCCATCACCATGTTTACTATTTCAATGAATGCTAGTAAACCAGCCCACTATGAATTTCCAAAAAGGTGAAAATGGCTAGCACTCTCCTTTTAAAAGATTTCTTTAACCACTGTAAGATGGAAATAAGATTCTTCAGACTACAATTCTAAGTGCCACTGAATTCTTCCTAAGGTTGAGACTGTCATGCAGTCAAATTTTCAGCACATTATTCTAAAACAAACCACTTAAAAGAAGTTTCTAGCCTTTTCCTGAAGAGGAGCTACTTTTAATTTATCCAGTGCCCCTGACAGGTTGAGAATGGTAAGAAGTCAAAGTAGCTACTGGCTAATTCTCTTTTACTATTTGTGAGGAAAGGAAGGAACAGTGGTAGCTGTTACGGGGTAGAGGGATACATGCTAGGCACACAATCAGAAGACCTGGGTTTGATCCCAGCAGTGTGATCTACTAGCTATGTGGCCTCAGAATTATTTAACTTGTTTGAGCCAGATTCTTCATCAGTGAAAAGTCTCTAACAACATCAATTTCACAGAACTGTTGAGAACTAAATGAGATAATGTAAGTTAATGAGCCTTATGAGGCAAAAAACCCCCCAAAATCCTCCATAGTTATTTAAAGCATTATTATAATACTATTACATAATAATATGTTTCCATTTTGGCCCAGCAATCTACATTTTCTCACTTGAGTTTCTGTAAGAAGATGCATGTATAAATGTCACGTTTCCAGTGTTATCTGGATCTAATTAGTTAAAAACACAAATTTATGTGTTTTTACTACTGATTTCATAATATCTACCACTTCCTTTTAAAAGACCAAATTTTAAGACTAGAAAAAAAGCCCGTTTCCTGTCTCTGACATTCCCAGTTAGTTATGCACTTTTTAGGGAGTGTGAGAAGGGAACTGTTTGCATTGGGGGATGGAGGAAAGCGAGGGGGTAGACAAATAAAATTTCCTGGGCATTGAATATAGAATTTTGTAAAGTGTCAGGACTTTTACTTTGGTATATCATTTACTTTTAAAACTAATTAATTTTTTACTTAGTATTTTTTATCATAATAATTTCCTTTTTAAAAAACTATTTTTTTTTTACTTCTTTCACCAGAGTTCTGCCATCATTACTGTCACAAGTCTAATATGTAGCATAGGTCTCAGAACACTGTTCATTATAACTACATCAAAAATGAAAGCAAAGGTGACAGAGAATAGATAGTCTTATAATCCAAGAAGTTAAGGTGATCTTAGAACAAAGTACCTAACTCTCAACAGATTCTTTTCTTAACTAAAAATTTAAATAAACTGAGAGAAAAAAAATGATGCTGTTTCAAGGAGCCTTTTTCTTTTTAAGTACATACATTTATGTCCTTCCCCAGAACCTTCGTCTGCAGCATAGGGCTCTGCTTTGAAATACATGTACTGTACTTCTCCCCTACTCTTGCCACTCTCATCATATTCACTATCAGTTCCAGAGTCTTCTTCTGCTGTATCCCATGTCTCTTTTTTCCCTTCATTTGCTTTAGTTCTTCTACTACTTGTGATGCTGTGAGAGTCAAGTCCATTAGCCAAAGGGATTTGAGCATTATCGGCATTGCACAAAGTGTCACTACTATGGCTGGAGCTAAGGATATCACTGTCCACTGAACTTGTACTCCTGTCATTATTCACATCTGAGTCTGATCGTTCCTCAGGCTGAAAATTTTCAGGATCGGAAGTCTGAATATGCTGTTCAAGTTCTCTATTATCCACTGATGCTGAAGAGTCCCTCTCATTGAGAGGCGATTCAATGTTTTCAAAGTCACTTGTCTCAGTACTTTTGCTGCTATCCCCATTATCTCCATCTTGCTGCTGCTGTAATGACAAGCTTTTGAGTTTTTCAGTGCTTTCTTCTAGAATAGCTTCCACAGACTTTAAGCTCCCCACAGGTCCTTTGACTCTTTCACAGTCATCATCCACGTTACCAGAATCACCCCCAGCTTTCTGGTATGCTGTCCTTTTGGAATAAGATCCTGGGGATTGTTCAGGTAACAAAACAAATAATCTGATTGTATTTGCATGCCGATCCAGCAGTTTCCACAAATGGGAGTCTGTAAAGGCCATCTGGTAATCCAAAGTCTCAGAACTTTCAACAAACACCTAAATGGGTAAAGCAAAGAGTTATATTACATCATTAATTTTAGTGACATTCACATTCATCATTAGAATAACATTACATCAATGCCAGGCAGTGGTATTTTCTAAGTTATAAAATTTGGGATGATGTTTCTAAAGAACATGTGTATTGTTTTTGGAGACTTAACAAAACAAATATTATGTTTGTATGTTTTTATAATTAGCTATAAAACTGTGCTAAAATAGATGGAATACACACACAAGCACATATGCAGATTTCTTATTTATTGGGTTGTCCATGTTCAGAAAATTTTTGTATTTCACATCTTGCTCTTTAGGAAATCAAAGCTTAACATGAATCTAGATAGATGAACATGTATAAAGACATCTTGGAAATGCAACATCAAAACCCAGATTATAGAAAAACTCTAATGGACAAATGACTTGATTTTATAACAAGTTAATTGTAGGAAACCAAAAAACACAGAGAAGAATCTTTAGATTAAAATAAGACTTGACAGCTATATTATGGACTTTATTTGGATCCTGCTTTGAACAAATCCTATT